CAAATAAATAAATGTTTTTAAATATTTTTTTTGTTGTAGATTTATTACATGAATCTTCTGAATCTAGTTTGATCACAACTTTGTCTCCTACATCACACGTTCTAGCAACTACTTCAACACCAAAACCATCATTGATTGAAAAAATCTCTCAACCTAAAGCACCTGTCTGGTTTGAAAAATTTGAAGAGTTGAAAAATAAGCAACTTGATGCAAATAATAAAAATGCTGTACAACTTAATTATCGGTGAGTGAACTTAATATTTTTCATATTATTCATGAATTGCAATTTTTATTTTATGCATCTCCAAATAAGGTTTGACAAATTAGAAAAACGTGAAGAAGCCATGTTGATGATACAAGAGCAACTTGTGAGCAAGTTGGACGATGCTAATAAAATAAAGCTCCAAAAGTTGGAAGTTTTTAAACAAATGTTTAATATTGACAACTAGTTGTATAATATATTATATTATATTGTTATTACTTACAAACAGTTACTATCATTTTTGTTTTTCATTTATTCATAATATGTTTTTTATTGAATTTTTCAATGTATAGTTACAGAAAAATAATTATTTTGTATTCTATACTGATTGATGAAGTGTAACAGTAATTTTATTATATTTGTTTTTATCCTTAATTAATATTCATATAATTATATTAATAGTTGGTTACTGTTTATTAGTATTTTATATAATATACCTACTATAGATATCACCTACTGTACAACCTATTATAAATATAAAAAATTGTTTTCTTTAGTATTATTTACAATAACTTGTAAATTATAAACAGCAAAAAACAAATGAAAGTATTCAAAACTGTTGTATTTTTTTTTATATTTTTGATTAAAAAACCCCTCCTAAATGAAAATATGAACTTTCTTTTTACCAGTTACTCACTTAATTGTAAATATTACTCATTATTCTTACTTTTTTTAAAGAAAAACTGAGAGCAACCCTGTGATGTAGGGGCATCTCCGACAGGAGCCTTAAAAARCAAATACAAACTTAACAACATATAAAGAAACTTATTTTAATATTGATGTGCTTTAAGATAGTTAATGAATAAATGAATTACATAACATATTTCGTTTTGTTATACCACTTATAGTTTAATTAGGTACCTAAATTACTGTTGATTATTTTTAAGTGCTTAAAATAATATAACGAACCTCAACGCTACTTCTATTTAGACGGAAATGGGATTTGAATTCCCTATCTTCAAATCTTGGAATCATAGTTTCAGCAAAACCTATAATTTTTGTTTTATATTTTTTTATTTTCTCTTTACTGAATAAAACTATTTCATCTTCAAAATCATCAGTATGCCCATCAAAATTAAGTGAACGAAGTAAAACATCTAATAAAGTATAATACTATAATAGGTATAATATGTAATAAGACGTAGCACAGCTATTTTCATATTAGGATAAACATTAATTTAATTTAATAAAATGTTCTTACTTCTCTGGAAGGAAATGTTTGAACTATCAGATTTGATGTACGATTTTTACTGAGATTAAATTCTTTAAACATTTTGATTTTAAAATCATCCATTTTAAAACTAACTACAGTAATCACTTGTAATAATTTTATATTTCAAATGAAATACATATAACAGACTAATGGAATAAGAATATTATAAAGTAGGTACTTGAAAGTTTCAAACAAGTTAACCCTGATAAGATATTTTTATTTCTTATAAAATAATACCAGTTTTATAATAAATTTAAAAAATGGCGGGAATATAAATTTCTGAAATATGATAATAATTTATGGGGGGAGGAAAACCATTCTATTTACCGAATGTCTATCTGAACCGGTGTAGATCAACATGAACCAGAGTCATGARTCGGTATCGTATGAAACGGTACGGTATTGCACACCAGTTTGCACTGGCGAATTTCTTGATAGTCTATAGTGACGCTTTGACGGGGATTACCGACCAGTTTTCACGTTAAGTAGACTATAGCAGTTATAAAAAGCGGGTAAGTCGTGAATGTTGCTCTGCT